TCATAAACCGCAACATCCTACGACGAGCTGGAGCGTATTCAACTTCACGTACTCGGCGATTCCGCTTCTGTAAGCGGCGGCTTCAGTAAGGTCGTAGCTGAGGTTGAAGCCGGCCGCATGGACATGGGCGTGCGCACGTGGTCACGCATCCGGAGCGAGCGAAGCAGCTGAGATTTCTGCAGCGATCTTACACAGCTACTACGTTCTGCTCATCAAATATCCGGAGAAGAAAACGCCAGACGAAACTGCCCATCTTCGTGCCCTTCACGATCTTGACGTGGTTCTCATTATCGCGTGCAGTCTTGTCATTACTGTTCTGCTGCCCGTGCTGAAATACCTGAGCCTGTCCACCGACAGCCCACGATGACATCTGGCATGGACTTAGCTCTGCTGCCGTCTACGCGTTTTCGGCACGCTTTCTAACCAAGGCGGAACCTGGCTTAGCGGCAGAATCGCCGATCGCACACTGGCGGTTCTCTTGGTGGATGTTTGTGATCGTCATCCTCAGCACGTACACGGGTAGTCTCGTGAGTTTCCTCTCTGTGGACACAGAGGTGGCCTACCCGTTCACTTCCCTGCACGAAGCTGCCACTATCCGATCACGCCTACCATCGTACCGGGTTCATAGAAGAAGCACTACTGAACGGAAAGCCCACCGAGTCAGACCTAGGGAAGATGTGGAAGAAGGTGCTTGCCGACCCCGACGCGTGGTCACCAGTAGCAGATGAGGCTATAGACCGAGTCCTCACTGGGAAATACACGCCTATTTATCGAAAGTGATTGGTATGGAACATTGCACGCACAGAGGGACTACAGGCGCTCGGGGAATGTAGACTAGCGATGGTGCCGATCACTGTACTACCGACTAGCACTACGTGCGTGCTTGCGTACGGTGACCCGTACTACGAGCGCTGAACGACGGAATCACCAACTACATCAGAGTGGCATCTTGCAGAATGGACGGATGACATGCTAAGGTGCCTGGGTGTTTGCTCGAGCAGACATCTGTGTCAGCGAATGTGATACTGCTGCCGTACTTACAGAACCTGTTTACCTTCCTACTGCGCTCGGTGTGCTTGTCGGCGATGCTGCTTGTGCATAGAACTTTTAATCAGCTTCATGAAATACTCGAGGATAAAAGCAAAGTAGGACCATGGATTGCGAGGAGAGAGTTTGACTGACGATAAGCAGTAGGAGTGTCTATGTTAGATAGCAACGTTTAATTTAGCCAAAATACATGCCTACGAATTCTAATATGTATCCGTAGAAGCTTATACCGTTATCGCATACCTATGTATGATAATACCTACGTGTTTTAAGGAAATGATTTAATTTCTGTTTCCTATATGTATGATATATGTTGGCACGGTTTCGCCACTTTTTAATAATTGTTGTTAGTAATTAATTTTATGTTTTCACAATATGATACTATATAATGCTGGCTTTCGGAAATGCTTATTAAAGGTCTCTTGCCATTATAATGAATGTAAATGTTGATTGATTGAATTACTGCTAATAACAATTGTTATAACTGATTACATGCGTAATGTATTAAAAACAACTTAATCAAAATATTAATAACTAGAAAAAGGACGGGTTCTTACATATTTTATGTGCTATTTTTATCGAAGCCAAATATGGTTACCCCGCGTCGTTCGTGGGTCCATTAGTTCCCACGAGTATCAAATATTTACTCGTGAAATTAGAACTGCCAGCTGTGTTTGCGCCGTACGATCCTCACCTATTCGCACGCTCACACTCGCCGGCTAAATGGTAAGACCCGACTTGCAGTAGATTATGCGTACCTGGTTCCCATAGCAACCGCTGCATAATCGTAAATACGAAATCTTACAGGGAACACCCGTTTCTATACGTAAATCATGCGCATACGTACGACGCTCCAGCCTGCTCCAACAATAAAGGCGCAAAACACTTGCAAACGTTTCAACAATAAATGATGTAAATAAACACGAAATGTATTTACTACCAAATTAACACTGTCTCAATGTTTATGTATCTTCTATAAACGTAATAATTCCACGTAAATAATGTGCACAAATTACAGCAAAAGACATAATTATGTGAGTTTATGCACATTGGTGTGCGTGCGGTGAAATTGTGTTGCAGAGGAGCGTCTGAACTGCATTTACGGGACACTGTTACTAATAATAGGCGAAAGAGAATAGTTAAATATTAAGACTTTAACTTTGGTAGTAAAGACATTTCGTGTTTATTTACCATCAATTTATTATTTAAACCTTGCAAGTGTCTGTGGAATAAAACAGCATGTTCTTTCTACATATCCCACACGCACAAACTTATACAACACTGCCATGACAGTATGCTAATGGAACCCCGGAAGCACCTGGGTGAATGGGTATTATAGCTATTGCGCATCTGACAGTTATGAATTACACAATTCACTCAGAGTTCAGTGTGACAGAGTTGACGCACGTGCATTGACGTACAAGACTGATGAAAGCACAGGCACTTGGAACGTCTCAATAAAAAAAATAAATCTTCACACAATTTTTCACAATGATCGACCGCCTGTGTGCAAAATAGGTGAACGTATGTGAAACATAAACGGTTATACTTACTGTGACATATCGGTGACTACTGACACCACTAAATTGGTAAAATGTTCCATGCACCTTAAGAAATGCTGAGAAATTAACGAGGTTATCATCGCAGAACTCCCGACACTGCCCATCCTGATGTCACAAAGCTATATGTAAACTAGACAGAGGGCACTCGACGGAGAGTGCATACCTCCGCGAGCATGTAACATGTATGTGTTCGCTGGTGGCGGCTGCCTGACTGACTCGCCGCTCACTGGTGGCTGCTACTGACTCGCCACTTGCTGACCTCGACGCGCTATCGATCGCGAGGTGGCTACACACACACACACACACACACACACACACACACACACACACACGCGCGCGCGGGCGCGCGCGCGGCGAGCGATTGCATGACGCTCCGTTGCGCAGAGGTAACAAACACGCGTGTTGCGAGGTGCCTGCCTCGCGATATCCGTTCGAGGCCCGTAAGCCAAGCATAAAGTGCGGGCAAGACTCACACACAACCACACACACACACACACACACACACACACACACACACACACACACAACACACACACACACACCACACACACACACACACACACACACACAGCTACGTTCATTGGCTAAAATAATCGACGTAGCGCGTTTAGGGATTTCGGGAATTATTTAATTTTAAGAAAAACTTCAATGTTCAATGAATGACGCACTCGTTCACTTCCGAAAGCGGGTAAAAAAGCCTAATTTTTCCGACACAAAACTATATATTTATGTGTCATGCAGTGTGCAGCCGCTAGCGTGCGGCAGCCAGCGTGTGTTGCAGTTGAGCATTTGGACGGCATTTACAGGAAATTGTCGGCAATAATTATAGAGTGAAAGAGAGTAGGTCTAGAGAAACAGAAAATCATTAAGATTGGTAGTAAATAGATTTCGTATTTATTTAGCATTATATTTTATTGAAACGCTCCAAGTGCCTGTGTGCATGTCGAACCAAAGTCTAACCATTTGCTCGTCGTAGTAGCGAACCGATGTAGGTGGAGTCGGGTGGCATCCATAGACAGGCAGGCTGGATAAGTGTAACAAAAACATTAAATTAAAAACTACTACTTAGAAGGTTTTAGTAAATACGCAACATATACACTTCATGTAACATATACATATTCACGCTAAATGACTACAGATTCAAAGTTCAAACTACATTCAAAACTTCTTCCCAGCGACGTGATAAATTATTCTGTTATATATTATATTCTTTATGTATTTCACACACAAGCACGGTGGGTCGATCACCACCTACAGGGCGCAAGGGGGGGGGCAAGGGGGGCAGCTGCCCCTAGATTTAGAGCAATATTTAAAAAAAAGTTCTACTAAAAGAAGATTGTCCTAGTCAGAATGGAAGGCGCTGTACATGCACTCAAAAGTGCCTCAAATACCATCTCCTGCTATCTACATTTTCAAAACGTTTCTGTGGGAGGATCAGCTGGATCCAATCCTGGATCCGCCACTGCCCCCCGAGGATTTTGCTCAGCCTATACGGCCCTGGGCTACATCAATTGGTCCTTAAATCTGCAGTTATTTAGCATGAATATTTCGTGAATGTTGTGTATGTGCCAAAACTCTCTGCGGTATTTTAATTCGTTGTCTGTCATACTTTAACTTATTCCGGGCTGCCAGAATTTTTCTCTACCTGAAGGCTCTGATTCCTGCTGGCCGATGGACGCTCTCTACCGGTGCAAAACGCTTTCTAATCGCCAATAGCGAACGCGCCATTTTTTGAACGGCCCTAAACTTTTAAATAAGGAATTGTGTCGCAGACAGGGCGTTTGAAAGGCCACGCAACCCGAGGCTAAAAATATAACATCGTTCAAAACATGTATGTGTTTACAAACATTGTTTGCACAGAACCCGTCATATAGCGATTACGACACAAAATGCGATTGCAGGTGTTCTGAAATTTCGATCGGGCGATGGAGTTGCTGAATCGATCGCTAACCCAATCGCTGCCTGAGTGGTGACAAGATTCAAACGGTTTTTATTTGTGCATACGACATACATGAATACAGAGTACATCGACAAGTACTTTCAACTAAGCGGAGGAAAACCGCCGTCTCACGTGTTTAGCTAAAGTTCGCGGCGCAAAATATCGACTTACTGATTGTAAATTTTTATTGGAGCTTGTCGTACGCGACAATGGATAACACACGCGATCGTTCGTGTAGAACATTTCTAGCCGTAGCGTGGAAATAGACACAAACGCAGACGCAGCAGCATTCTCAGCGGAGGCTGCTGCACAGACTTGTTGTGGAATCCAGCAGTTGTTTAATAGCAGGCGTGGAGCGGCGAGAACGCAGCATGGTGCGGCTGGTTAATTCTCACTGCTCGCATTTAATTCCCATTCGTTCGGGCGATGGAGAGGTTCATAGCTTCTAAGAATCTGAATGCCGACTTGATGAACATTGCTGAAAGCGCTACACAACCTGGATTTCAATGCCGTAAGACTTCACCAGGGAGAGAAATACAAAAAAACTTTCCGATACGTAAAACACAAGAGGCGCCTAATTTTCACGGAGTCGAACTGAAAGTTGGCTTCCTCAATTGCTCGGCAGTTAACACGGAGATATCGATCATAAACCGGAACATCCTACGCGAGCTGGGAGCGTATTACAACTTCACGTACTCGGCGATTCCCTTCTGTAACGGCGGCTTCAGTAAGGTCGTAGCTGAGGTTGAAGCCGGCCGCATGGACATGGCGTGCGACGTCGTCACGCATCCGGAGCGAGCGAAGCAGCTGAGATTTCTGCAGCCGATCTTACACAGCTACTACGTTCTGCTCATCAAATTTCCGGAGAAGAAAACGCAGACGAAACTGACCATCTTCGTGCCCTTCACGACCTTGACGTGGGTTCTCATTGTCGCGTGCAGCCTTGTCATTACTGTTCTGCTGCCCGTGCTGAAATACCTGAGCCTGTCCCCCGACAGCCCACGATACATCTGGCATGGACTTAGCTCTGCTGCCGTCTACGTTTTCGGCACGCTTTCTAACCAAGGCGGAACCTGGGTTAGCGGCAGAATCGCCGATCGCACACTGCAGTTCTCTTGGTGGATGTTTGTGATAGTGATTCTCAGCACGTACACGGGTAGTCTCGTGAGTTTCCTCTCCGTGGACACAGAGGTGGCCTACCCGTTCACGTCCCTGCACGAAGCTGCCAACTATCCGATCACGCCTATCATCGTACCCGGGTTCATAGCCGAAGCCCTACTGAAGGAAAGCCCACCGGAGTCAGACCTAGGGAAGATGTGGAAGAAGGCACTTGCCGACCCCGACGCGGTGGTCCACAGTGCAGATGAGGCTATAGACCGACTCCTCACTGGAAAATACACGCTATTTGTCGAAAGTGATTGGTATGGAACATTGCACGCACAGAGGGACTACAGGCGCTCGGGGGAATGTAGACTAGCGATGGTGCCGATCACTGTACTACCGACTAGTACTACGTGCGTGCTTGCGTACGGTGACCCGTACTACGAGCGGCTGAACGACGGAATCACCATACTACATCAGAGTGGCATCCTGCAGAAATGGACGGATGACATGCTTAAGGTGCCTGGGTGTTTGCTCGAGCAGACATCTGTGTCAGCGAACGTGATACTGCTGCCGTACCTACAGAACCTGTTTACCTTCCTACTGCTCGGTGTGCTTGTCGGCGGATGCTGCTTGTGCATAGAACTCTTAATCAGCTTCATGAAATACCTCGAGGATAAAAAGCAAAGTAGGACCATGGATTGCGAGAGAGTACGCGTGACCGACGATGAGCAGTAGGAGTGTCTTATTTAGATAGCAACGTTTAATTAGCCAAATACATGCCTAAGAATTCTAAATGTATCCGTAGAAGCTATACCGTTATCGCATACCTATGTATGATAATACCTACGTGTTTTAAGGAAAATGATTTAATTTCTGTTTTCCTATATGTATGATATGTTGGCACGGTTTCGCCACTTTTTAATAATTGTTGTTAGTAATTTCATTGTTTTCACAATATGATACTATATAATGCTGGCTTTCGGAAATGCTTATTAAAGGTCTCTTGCCATTATAATGAATGTAAATGTTGATTGATTGAATTACTGCTAATAACAATTGTTATAACTGATTACATGCGTAATGTATTAAAAACAACTTAATCAAAATATTAATAACTAGAAAAAGGACGGGTTCTTACATATATTATGTGCTATTTTTATCGAAGCCAAATATGGTTACCCCGCGTCGTTCGTGGGTCCATTAGTTCCCACGAGTATTCCAAATATTTACTCGTGAAATTAGAACTGCCAGCTGTGTTTGCGCCGTACGATCCTCACCTATTCGCACGCTCATACTCGCCTGCTCAATGGTAAAACCCGACTTGCAGTAGATTATGCGTGTTAATATACCTGGTTCCCATAGCAACCGCTGCATAATCGTGAATACGAAATCTTACAGGGAACACCCGTTTCTATACGTAATTCATGCGCATGCGTACGACGCTCCCAGCCTGTCCAGAATAAAGCGCAAAACACTTGGAAACGTTTCAACAATAAAATGATGGTAAATAAACACGAAATGTATTTACTACCAAATTAAACTGTCTCAATGTTTATGTATCTTCTATAGACGTAATAATTCCACGTAAATAATGTGCACAAACTCACAGCAAAAGACATAATTATGTGAGTTTATGCACATTGGTGTGCGTGCGGTGAAATTGTGTTGCAGAGGAGCATCTGAACTGCATTTACGGGACACTGTTACTAATAATAGGCGAAAGAGAATAGTTAAATATTAAGACTTTAACTTTGGTAGTAAACACATTTCGTGTTTATTTACCATCAATTTATTATTTAAACCTTGCAAGTGTCTGTGGAATAAAACAGCATGTTCTTTCTACATAGGCCTATCCCACACGCACAAACTTATACAACACTGCCATGACAAGTATTGCTAATGGAACCCCGGAAGCACCTGGGGTGAATGGGTATTATAGCTATGCGCATCTGACAGTTATGAATTACACAATTCACTCCGAGTTCAGTGTGACAGAGTTGACGCACGTGCATTGATGTACAAGACTGATGAAAGCACAGGCACTTGGAACGTCTCAATAAAAATAAATCTTCACACAATTT